AAAAAAAAAAAAAAAAAAAAGCACTTCCCAACCCTTTGAGCTGCTCCAAAATGGGGTGAACTTGTTCACGGAAATGGAATTTTCTGTCCCTGGAAGTTTTCAGTCAGTAGCTGACTGCTCATTAATATGTTTCAAAAGGACAAGTATTAATAGGTATTATTAATTGAGCCTAAATTGTTCCTGGCACAGGGATAGGTTTATTTATTTAAACCTTGCAAGGTACAGATGTATCGCCAACCATTTACAAATGAGGTCAAGTGACTTGTCTGTGGTCACACAGTTAATTAGTGGTAGCAAACTTAGCAATTCTTGTCTTTATTTGAGTTTTTGTTTTCCTCTCACAAGGACCTGATGAACTATATACCCTTTCCCTAGAAAAACACTGATAAGAATAATTTCTATACCCCACAAAGGTTTTACAGCTCCTGGAAGCCCTGGGTTAAGAATCCATGATTTAAACTTTAAGCAATAAGATTTGATTTAAAAATTAAAAAAACAACAAACCTTGCCTGGGCTCCACACCTCTAGTTGCCAGTTTATTTGGTCTGGGTAGGGGTTCCAGCATCCGTAATTTTTAAAAGCTCCCTAGGTGTTCCTATTATGAAACAGGGTTGAGAACCACTGGGTTAGTTATGTTGAATGACCTATAAAGTTTATCCCAACTCTTGTAATCTAACACAGTAACATATCACAACAACTAAATATGAGCTTTCTTGCTTAGTAGTTTGGTTTTGTGCCAGTGAATGAGTCACGGGAGCACACGTTCATCCATCACCACATCTACCAAGAGGCCTGCCTATACATATGTAGATTTGGATGATTCACTTGGTTTCTATGGGCTGTTCCCTTTTTTCTTTTTGAGACAGAGTCTTGCTCTTTTGCCCGGGCTAGAGTGCCGTGGCGTCAGCCTAGCTCACAATAACCTCAAACTCATGGGCTCAAGCGATCCTCCTGCCTCAGCCCCCTGAGGAGTGGACTACAGGTGCTCCCCACCACACCCAGCTAATTTTTTTTTTCTACTTTTAGTACAGACAGTGTCTCACTCTTGCTCAGGCTGGTCTCAAAATCCTGACCTCAGGCTATCCTCCTGCCTCGGCCTCCCAGAGTGCTATATTATAGGCATGAGCCACCACACCCGGCCTGTTTCCTTATTTTTAAATTAAATTCCATTCCACCAGTGTCTATTGATCACCTATGATGCACTAGACACTACGAGGAACTGGGATATAGAGACAAGCAACAACTATTCTCTAATATTATAAAAGTCATGATCTAGTGACTGCTCTCTCTTGTGCTTTCCTATTTTAAAATTCACATGATTTTTCACAAAAGAACTCTGTAGCTTGCATACATCTTTGTTGGGAATCCATGTTCTCTCTTGAGATGTTAGAAAATGAAAGTTGGACGTAAGTACTGTATGAGTAAAGATGCAGGCTCAATTGCTGCCAGAAGTTTCTCTTTTACATAAGAGTTTGGGTGTGATCGGTTCGAGGATAATGTGGTATCTCCCCAGTGTCATGGGCCCAAGCACCTCTTACCTGATGACTGTACCATTCTTATTTGATCACTCTACCATCCTCAAATCATGACATCCATTTTTTTATTAAAATGACTGCTCCAGTTTTTGCCAACATATCTGCATTCTGGCCAGGAAGTATTTTTTCTTTACTAAAAATAGAAAAATTAGCCAGGTGTGGTGCCATGTACCTGTAGTCCCAGCTACTTGGGAGGCTGAGGCAGAAGGATCACTTGAGCCCAGGAGTTTGAGGTTGCAGTGAGCTACGATGATGCCATTGCATTCTACCCAGGGCAACAGAGTGAGACTCTGTCTCAAAAAAAAAAAAAAGTGTGTGTGTGTGTGATTGAATAAGTCTTTTAAATTAAGTATACAGTCAGTATTAAATGATGGTGATAGAAAACCTGCAGGGAAAAAAATAAACATCCATAGAATCATTGCCCAGCAGCTGTTTGATAAACACTTTAAACTTGTAGCATTCTTCAACTACAGGCTTTCTGTCCTACCTCTTCCTCTAATTAGCTGTGTGATTTCAGATATGTCACTTGACATTTGCATCTTCATTTATCTTCAAAAGAGAGTAATATGGTCTAACTCTCAGGGTTGTTCACATGACTGAATGAATTCATGGATGTAAAAGTGTTTTGCACACTGGAAAGCACAATACAAATGTATAGTGGGTGGTATCGTTTTAGTTGTTACACATTACACAATGCCTTGTATTGAAGCCCAGCCTTCCACTGACAGCATCTTGAGGTGTTATGGTTCTGGAGCAGTTACCTTGTCCTATTTCCAGACTTCAGGTACAGCCTCGTGCTTCACTGCCTCCACCAAAGTCTTCCAGCTGGGGATGGGTTCCCTGGCTATCTACAGATCCAGAAGGCAGGTCAGGTTACTACCTATGTTTCTTAACTGCCTGTTAAATAAGCATGGAGTTCTTTTGGTTTTTCTTAGTTTTTTAATACTAATATTCATTGGCAGTATTGTCAGCAAAAATGCAGAATTACAAGTTAATCTTCCAAAGCCCACACAGCAAAGGTCCCTGTACCTTCATTGAATTGCAAGTTCATTTCCTACCCTGAGTTTCCCATGTCTTCAATCTTGCTCTTCTTTATCTGTTCATTCATTCATTCATTCATTTATTGAGTCTCTACTATGTTCCAGGCACTGGGTATCAGAGTACAATTCCTTTGTGCAAATTAAATGTAATTGATATACCTGACATTTAGTAGACTTTCAGTAGATAATGTTTTCTCTTTCCGTTCCTCATGTTGCTTAATTTACCTACCTAATGCATCTTTGACTATTGTGAGTGTGTCCAGAGCAGATGGACAATATATACTCAGAACATCTGCAGCATCAACTGTTTTCCAATGGGCACAGCACAGATAAGTGAACTTCATGTTGACTTCATCAGAATGAGTAGAAATTGCAAACATTTTTGTTCTGCTACGCCCAGCTTCTTATGCAGATCACAGGGATAGAGTATCTTCAGTGTTTAACCTTCCTCCCTTCCTTGATCCATCCTTCACCAGTGCGTTTTAGATGTAAAGTTAAATAGGGAAGCATGGGAAATGAGGTAAAATCATCCTAACTTCCTCTTGCCACCTCTCCCACCCTATATTCTGAAAAAACATAATTATCAGAGTGCACCCTTCTTTTGGCAATAATACACCAATCTTTAAGTCTTCTTTTGTTACCATTCTCTTCCCTGACATTTACCTAATTTTCTTCTCTTTTGTAGGCTGTCAGCCAGGTGAAACAGCAAAAATATTCGACGAAAGTCTCTTTCGGGTCACAAGAGATACCGTTAGCACCGCCTCCATCGTACCAGTCAACAGATGCAGACTTCACAGGCTACGGTATGATTCTTTTTTTTTTTTTGAGACAGAGTCTCACTCTCTTGCCTGAGGCGAGTGCCGTGGCCTCAGCCTAGCTCACAGCAATCTCAAACTCCTGGGCTCAAGCAATCCTACTGTCTCAGCCTCCCAAGTAGCTGGGACCACAGGCATGTGCCACCATGCCTGGCTAATTTTTTCTACATATATTTTTAGCCGTCCAATTAATTTCTTTCCATTTTTTGGTAGAGACGGGGTCTCACTCTTGCTCAGGCTGGTCTCGAACTCCTGAGCTCAGAACGATCCGCCCGCCTTGGCCTCCCAGAGTGCTAGGATTACAGGCGTGAGCCACCGCGCCCGGCCTTACGGTATGATTCTTTCCTTGAGCAGAACTGGCTCATGAAACCTTAGAGAAGGAAAGGATCATGATGCCCTAAAAAGAGAACTGGGCCACGAGTCAGATGCCTGACTACATCTCTACTTTCGTAGCTTTGGGGCCTGGACAGGTCACCTCACTTCCTACACCATTATCTTCCTCTCGACCATTGCCATTGCCTGCTGATTATTGAATAGGAAAGTACTAGAACAGAAAAGGCCCTGAGTAAATGCCATTTGAATCTGAGGCTTACAGATTATTCTTCTCTAATCTCTCCAAAAGATTATATTTAGGTCATGAGTAATATCTCATAAGAAGTCATATTGAACCCAATTTTTAGCCCTGCATATGTTGATATAAGCTATTTGAAGACTGTTAATTTTCAGTGTTTAAAGAAATTGGTATTCATGTTCTCTCATTAAATTCCTGGCTTGAATTATGCTGACAGGGGGTTGAAAATAGAAGTTCAAAATGAATAATGGGTGTTTCCACTTTGCTTTTATGCAATATAAATCAGTAAAAAATTGACTCTTTAAAACACCGTGCTCACAGATGGCAAAGCATAACCCTGCATTAATGTAGCAGTCCTGAGACCTTTGTGGTATTTATCTCTTACATATTTTTTCATAAATATTAACTCATAAAAAGTTTAACAAGCAGTTATTATTTTAAAGCACTGAATTTTTACAAAAACACTTGATGAACATGATCAGCAAACTATGGACCATGGGTCAATTCTGGCCCACCAGCTGTTTTTGTATAGTCTATGAGCTAACAATGGTTTTTACATTTTTAAAGGTTGAAAAAAAAATCAAAAGACTATTTCATGAAAATTATATGAAATTCAAATTTGTGTCCATAAATAAAGTTTTATTAAGGCATTCATTTGTTTACCTATTGTCTATGGCTTCTTTTACACTATAATGGTAGAGTTAAGTACTAATAGTTGCACCAGAGACTGATCCATAATCCCCAAAATACGTATATGTGGCCTTTTACCAAGAAAGTTTGCTGACCATGGATGTAGACCAGTTGAGTTTTGGTACTATGTATCACATATTTATACCTAGATAAAAGAATTCATCATCCTATAATTTAATCTGTGGAAATTTTATTCATTTACTCATCTACTTACTGAGCATTTTTTGACAGTTTGGTATGAGGCAGGCTTTGGGCTGGATTCTGTGAGAGAAACGAGTACAAAGACTGACTCAGGACTGGGGTGAGGCCAAGTGGAAGAGGAAAGAAATGCCATCTCTAGCATCTCTTGCTATGTGTTCTCTCTCTCCTCACTCAGGAGACTACACTAGTCATTTTAAAAGCATCCATGAAATCGTACCACTATTGTATGTCATTTTTATTGTAAATTAATGGGAAAAATACTATGAAACACATATGCTGCAAAAAGATCTAGAGACAAATTAGGTTTACAATTTAATATTCTACTTCTAATATGGCACTTTTTATTGTTACTGAGGTTATGTCACTGAATTTCTTGCTCTTAACCCGGAGGCCATTGGATTAATAAATTCCATGTGGACAGGAACAGCAAATCTGTCTGTCCTATGCCAGACTCTGGGCTGAGCACCTCGCACGCACTGTTCAGTTAATTCTCCCAGCAGCCTATCAGATAGTGGTTCCAGGCATTTTTCTGTCGAGAAGTGAGCCCCAGTTTCATCTGTTAATTTCCTGCTTGAGAATTCAAATCCACCTCCGCGCCACTCCAAACCCTGGGCCCTTTTGCACAAAGACTGTGACTATTGCTCAGAACAAAACCCCGCACAGGCTTACCTATGAATCTTTTTGTTTCATACCAGAGACTGGCAAACTTGTTCCCTAAGAACTAGATAGTAAATATTTTAGGCTTGTGAGCCACACAGTCTGTCACCGTCCCTCGCCTTGCCGTTGTAGTGTGCCAGCAGCCACAGAGCTGTGGACTAGATGTAGATGAATCACTGAGTCTGTGTTCCAGTACGGTTTTATTTATGGACACTGAAATTTGGATTTGCTACAATTTTCATATCTTGAAATATTATTTTTCTTTTGATTTTTTTTTCAACCTTTTGAAAATATAAAAACCATTCTTGGCCCTCGATCTCTGCTTTTACATAGGTTTGAAGAACATTGTGGATTTTATCGTGGCTTCTGTGCATTAGCTACAGCTGACCAGCAGATGGGGCCCTTAATCATCAGCCCTTTCCTGAATGAGAATCAATCAATACTCATGACGATCAAACTTCGTTATCAGAACATTCTCTGGAGACTGTGATTTGTATGAGACTATCTTGAAATTATTTAACATTCTGAATGGCTTGATTTTTTTAAAGGGTAAGGTTCAGTTATTTGGAAAATGCATGTATATAGAATTTATGCTGCATAAAAAGGTGTTATTAAACATCTTTTGTTAGCCTATAAACATTTTTTTCTAGCCAGGTGTGGTCACTCACACCTGTAATCCCAGCACTTTGGGAGGCCAAGGCGGGAGGATCACTCGATGCCAGGAGTTTGAGACCAGCCTGGGCAACATAGCAAGACTCTGTGTCTGCAAAAAATTTTTAAAAGATTTTTTCTCTCAATTTTTGGAAAAACTCAGTCTAAAACAATTATTTAAGAAACAAACCTTTATAAAACAGCAATAACTCTTATAAATCTTTTCCCTTATGGGCCCAGCAAATAATTTTTGAGAGTTGTGTTTTTTTACACTCTCTCTCTCTCTCTATATATATATATAGTAATATATATATTTTTGAGGATAAATTTTAGGTAATCGCTATTTTCAAGTATATCATACTTTATTGATTAAATCCTTTATACATCTTAATTCATCTGATATGCTCTAATTAAAAATATTTAAGCACTGTTTCTTAATTAATATTCTATAAGTCAAAATCTTCTGTCATACCAACCTTTATTCTCGTTATAACATAGGCCTTTATGTACCTAATCATTCAATCATCTTAAGTTTTTTCATACAGGTTTTCATGATGTACTTTAAGATTTAAAACTTTCCAAGTATAACAAAAACTGATGGGTTGAGGGTCGGGGGACGTATCATTTTAATCTCAAAAGGGTTGTAGAAATGTCATGTTTCATCCCTGGGTGGATGGGCAGCAATGACCCAACTTTTTCCTTCCGGTGCTTTGCAGGAAAAGAGTGAAATGATAAACACATGCAAGCCCCTACTCCCCGAGTCAGGGAGGGCGCAAGCTGAGCTGCGTCTCCTACTTGCCCGTCATTATGTGTTCAATCCTTTTCCAGGTGGTTTCCAGGCTCCTCTGTCAGTGGACCCTGCCACTTGTCCCATTGTACCTGGCCAGGAAATGATTATAGAAATATCCAAGGGACGTTCAGGGCTTGGTCTCAGCATTGTGGGAGGAAAAGACACACCATTGGTAAGTTTCTAGACTTGAAGTATATCCACCGTCACAGAATTAGTTGTTGAGCCTCACAATGGCCCTATGTCACTTCTTGGCTTTTTCACAGTATAGGAAAAAAACATAATTATAAATAGATGTGCACCTATATTCTAGCTAGCTTTCAACTTTTTCTCAGTGTTTAATTTTCACCAGGATTTTCTCCATCTAGGATATTGAGTATTTTTATAAATGCTTATTAGACCAACAACATCATAGCAGCATTTAGAAGTATTAAAACAGGATTTAAGATGATACCTGGCACTTGGTGACTGTTCTGTAAGTGGGAACTGTTATTATTCTCATCATCATCATTTGTATTTAATGGAATGCTAGATAAAAAACATACATCAACTGTCAAATATATAGCAATTATTCCAGCCCAATAATTTAGAGATTATTTTATTCTAATCATGTTCATGTCCTCGTAATTTTTTTAAATTGGTCTATAATGCTAGTTTTTCCTGGGACGATTGATTTTTGATTATTCAGTACCTTTTGTTTGTCATTAATCAATAGTGCCATTAAAATGTAAAATTTTTCCTGGGTTTTGATTTACTCAAACTGTGATTAACCAATGCATATATATTTGAATAGGTATCACCTGTGTGTTATACAAAGTTAAACTGCTACAAAAGGGAAAAAAGTGAAAAATCTCCCTCCTACCCCTTTGTCCTAGCCCTGCCCTCCACCACTCTCCCCCAAAAACACCAGGGCCTCTCCCCAAAGACAATCACTCTTATTGATGTTTTTAAATGAATATTTTGGTATTTCTTTTGCCCATTTTGTTTAGTAAGGAATAAATTGTATATGCCAAATTTATAGATAAAGCAAATATAATATCATCCATAAAAGTATTTTTTTTTTTCATTTTTGGTAGGATTATAATGTTTTTGTGTTAGTACTGTTGGTGGGTGGGGAGATCCTATTTTACTTTTCGGTAATAACTATTAGTCCCCTAAAGCACTAGGAAACTCAAGAACAGTATACGAGTTATGCTAACAGAAACCTGAGTCATAATGCCTTTTTACGTGTTTGCTGGTTATGGTGCTTCTCTCTCCTTCAGTTCAGCCCAATCTGGAGCGTTCTGCTACTTAGCTCTGTCCTACGGGTGAACCACCTCACTTGAACCTGAGTGTGCTCAGAGGCTGGTGTTTATTAACTAAAGGATTTTGTCTCCTTTGACTTGATTAAAGTATTGTTAAAACTTTTCTCTGGAGTTCAGAATAATTTATGTCCTGAATTCTTCCTTTGCCTATGCAGGCAGAAGCTACGGTGTGTGGCTTCCTGCACACACTGTGATGTTTTTATCAGCTTGGATGGAACTGGGAACACGTGGAGTTAACCATGCTCAGCAGCTAGTTTTAACTCCCAGCCCCTTTTTATGGGTCTTTGCCTCCTTAAGGCCCCAGACTTTTTTTACATTTCTTGTCCGGTTGGAATACTCTCTGTTCAGCTTTTGACATTGAGGAAAAAGGCAGACTCTTCTTAGAGATTTCCCTTCAAGAAATTTGGCCTAGGCTGTATTTTTAATTGTTTTGGGGGGGGTGGTTTTTGTTTTGTTTTGTTTTTTGAGACAAAGTCTCCCTCTGTCTTCCAGGCTAGAGTGCAGTGACGTCATTGTCTCTCACTGCAGCCTCCAACTCCTGGGCTTAAGCCATCCTCCTGCCTCAGCCTCCCGAGTAGCTGGGACTACAGGTGCTCACCACCACACCCGACTAGTTTTTTTTATTTTTTTGTAGAGAAGAGATCTTGCTGTTGCCCAGGCTGGTCTCGAGTTCCTGGGCTCAAGCAATCTTCCTGCCTCAGCCTCCCAAGTGCTAGGATTACAGGTGTGAGGATTACAGGATTACACATCCGACCCGTGTTCCCCCCCACCTGTGTTTTTAATAATGCCTTCCAATTAAAGGTCATCTGGCCTTTTAGCAGTTCAAAGAAACACTTTGGCCAGCCTGCCAGCCATCCAGCTAGCTGCTACCGTACATAGGAGGTCACATACCACCAACATAAGACCAGACCAGACCACTGTTCCTCAAACCTGCATATGCACTCCAGCCTCTCAGGCTCTGCTCCCCTTCCTCCCCTCAAATTGCCCTCTTCCTGCCCTGCTTTTCCTGCTCTCACCAGGCTTCTGGACCTCCTTCAAGCTGCCTCTCCCCATGAAGTCTTCCCTGGCTTCTCTGGCTTCCATGATCTGTCCTCAGCTAAACTCAGAGCTGATGCTCCACCATTCCTCACTATTAACTCTAAGCCATGTTTCCTCTCTACCCTCTGAGAGATTTCTTAGTCTCTCAGAGTCCATATCCTGATCTAGTCACAGAGACGGTAATACCCTGTAGAGTTACTCAGAGGATCAAAGAGAACCTTTGCATGAGGCTTAGCCTCATGCCTCACACTTGGTGAGTGATCACACGTGACATGTACCTTCTCCAAGCCTTTCTACATGTGCAAAACGAGCTTAATAATCCTGACTGATTGGGTTGTGGTGAGGATCAGAGATCTTATAAACAGTAGAAAATTTTATATATGTATAAAAATGTTGGGCAGGTACAGTGGCTCACACCTGTAATCCCAGCACTTTGGGAAGCTGAGGCAGGAAGGATCACTTGAAGCTAGGAGTTTGAGACCAGCCTGGGCAACATAGCAAGACTCCATCTCTACAAAAAATAATTTTTAAAATTGGCCAATATGGTGGCACACACCTGTAATCCCAGCTACTCAGTAGGCTGAGGCAGGAAGATTGCTTGAGCCCAGGAGTATAGATTTCAGTGAGTTACGTTAGCACCACTGCACTCCAACCTAGGTGACAGGGAAAGACTCTGTCTCAGAAAACATCAATAAATAAAATAACATTGTCAAACCAAAGCCATTGGCTTAGTATTCAGAAACTACTGGTTGATCCTGAACATTGGGTAATGTCTCCCTTCCAACGGCCTGTTTCCTCATTTTCCCAAAGAGGTGTTCCTAAATATTAAATAAATCGAATTTGTATAAATAAAGCTATATTTGAAATAAACCTGGGAAATTACATTTTAAGGAAATTCTTTAGTGAATTCTTTCATAAAGAAAAAGTAACCCTCTGATTTATTTTTTGTCCCTGTAGGTTTCTCTATATTGCTTAAAAATAAGGCAGAACGAGATTTCTCATAGGAAATCAGAAACATCTAATCAGCATGTCTGGCCTAGCTGTATGAGTTGTGGTTTTGCTTTTGCTTTTGTTAACATGAGTTTGCTTTGTGTGGGTTGGTTAGAATACCTAGACAAGGTGTGCCTGTGCTGCCCTGGGGCTTTCATATTGCATTCATTTGTGCAGCTCTTGAGGGCTTCCATTAAGCCCCCTCACTTCCTGCAACCGGATGTGAGACTGTTTGCTAAATACTATGCTCTGCTTCTCTTGCCACCACTGAGGCAGCCAAAAAAAAAAAAGTCTTTAAGAGCATCTCGAGGTTCATAATATATGGTTCTGCCTTTTGAGGCTGTAAATCCCATTGTCCTTGGAAGTATAAGCACCACTTTAAAATGAGAGATGGGACACAGCTTTTATTTCCTAACCTCAGGTACCTCATCAAAAGCCGAGAGTTAGACTCATGAGAAATCTGTAGACCTGTCTGTGGTTTTAGTGAGGCCGAACAGCAGGGGGATGGAAAGTGCTTTAACAAATAAAGCTATTGTTTACCACAATGAAGATCTTTCATTTTTCCTTTTTTTTCCCTTCCAAATTTGGACAAGGAAGATGCAACCTAATTGGCACTCTAGGTCACATTATCCAACAAAGTCTTGGGATTGCATCCAGCCAGCAGGAAGGCAGCAAACAAAGATGAGAGCATATGAAAGGAAACTCTGGGAAATGTTGAGACTCACTCTCGAAAGTGCCTTTGTACGTTTGGCTCAGTGGTGCATCCTTACTTCAGCTCTGGCATAGGAAAACAGTACATTCTGAGTTCTGGTGACCCTCCTTAAGCCTCTGCTCCAACTCTCCCAATTAGGATTTTTGTGTCTTCTTTGTTGTATGTCCAACAGATATTTTTGCTGTCTTCAGAGGAATTAAGTCTCTGGGACTTGGTCTTGACACCACTTCAGTTCTCTCTGCTATAAATAGTTTCTCTCCAGCCAAGACAGATGGTTTCTGAGATCACAGAGGAAGATCTGACTTAGCATCCCATTCTATTTGCAGCCGGTCATTTAAACCGACCTTTTAAAATGCCAAGATAATGATGAGGGTGAGCCTCTTGGGAAGGTTTACAAGCACACCTGGACCCAATCCTCAGTCACAGACTTCTGCCTCCGCTGTTTTAATCCTGTGATGTTGCTCCCAGGTCTGTCTGTGGGGAATGAGGCACTTCTGTGATAGGTTGCACATGTTTGCTCAAAGGCTGCCCTTTGCTTAGTGCTGAAGATACAAAATTGAGTGAGAGAACCTGTCCTCAAAGAGCTCACACATTTGTTCAAGTTCATCCTACTGACTTTAATGTTTATGGTCCAATATAGGGGATCAACCAATGAAGAACCACAATCGGGACTATTAAAATAGGGGCTTCCTCTGGAAAGTAGAAAGAAGCACTTTCTAGATTTAATTAATATAAGCTATTTGTTATATGTTTCTTATAAGGCAGGAAGCCAGATAAGGCACATTGGATAGCAGAGGTGGTATTTTAATTTGTATTTTTTATTTCCTTCTGTCAATCTGACCTTTCATCCTCCCTCCTGTGTTCTTGCTCATGCTCTCTCTCGCTCTCTCCCCCTCCTCCCCTCCTCCCTGTTGGGGTGTTAATTTGTATGAAATCCTGAAGCTCAGAGGATGCCACCTAATCTGCCAAATGAAAGACCAAAGGCTCTTTCCTCTTCTGATGCTTGCCTCCTGTTCCTTAAACTGCTACTCCCTGAAAACCTCAACATCCCCTTCTCAGAAATTTTTGCTAGCTGATTAGGAGTTTTACTGCCAGTGTCCTCAGAAAAAGTAAAATACAGCTCTCCAGACT